GTCATTAAGGTTTCGAGGCTGACGTTTGGCAACTCGAACCTTCAGCTCCCTCCATAGATTTTCAATGGGATTAAGGTCTGGAGACTGGCTAGGCCACTCCAGGACCTTAATGTGCTTCTTCTTGAGCCACTCCTTTGTTGCCTTGGCCTTGTGTTTTGGGTCATTGTCATGCTGGAATACCCATCCACGACCCATTTTCAATGCCCTGGCTGAGGGAAGGAGGTTCTCACCCAAGATTTTACGGTCCATGGCCCCGTCCATCGTCCCGTTGATGCGGTGAAGTTGTCCTGTCCCCTTAGCAGAAAAACACCCCCAAAGCATAATGTTTCCACCTCCATGTTTGACGGTGGGGATGGTGTTCTTGGGGTCATAGGCAGCATTCCTCCTCCTCCAAACACAGTGAGTTGAGTTGATGCCAAAGAGCTCCATTTCGGTCTCATCTGACCACAACACTTTCACCCAGTTGTCCTCTGAATCATTCAGATGTTCATTGGAAAACTTCAGACGGGCATGTATATGTGCTTTTTTGAGCAGGAGGACCTTGCGGGCGCTGCAGGATTTCAGTCATTCACGGCGTAGTGTTACCAATTGTTTTATTGGTGATTATAGTCCCAGCTGCCTTGAGATCATTGACAAGACCGTGTAGTTATGGGCTGATTCCTCACCGTTCTCATGATCATTGCAACTCCACGAGGTGAGATCTTGCATGGAGCCCCAGGCCGAGGGAGATTGACAGTTCTTTTGTGTTTCTTCCATTTGCGAATAATCGCACCAACCGTTGTCACCTTCTCACCAAGCTGCTTGGCAATGGTCTTGTAGCCCATTCCAGCCTTGTGTAGGTCTACAATCTTGTCCCTGACATCCTTGGAGAGCTCTTTGGTCTTTGCCATGGTGGAGAGTTTGGAATCTGATTGATTGCTTCTGTGGACAGGTGTACTTTATACAGGTAACAAGCTGAGATTAGGAGCACTCCCTTTAAGAGTGTGCTCCTAATCTCAGCTCGTTAACTGTATAAAAGACACCTGAGAGCCAGAAATCTTTCTTATTGAGAGGGGGTCAAATACTTATTTCCCTCATTAAAAGGCAAATAAATTTATAACATTTTTGACATGCGTTTTTCTGGATTTTGTTGTTTTTATTCTGTCTCTCACTGTTCAAATAAACCTACCATTAAAATTATAGACTGATCATTTATTTGTCAGTGGGCAAACGTACAAAATCAGCAGGGGATCAAATACTTTTTTTCCTCACTGCAATAACCGATCCATCGTGCAGTTTACTATTCAGCATCCACACCACGGTGCCTGGCCTTACCTGGGCACAGCGGAACTTTCAGAAGTATGGGGCGTTAACGCTCTTACACCTCCGGTCATCCTCTTCTCCTAAATCCGGGCGAGCGAATCGAGCACTAAGGTTGATGTAGTCGTGGGGGAAATGTTAAGTGTCTGGGGCTCACTGGAGTGATCCTACAATAACGACGAGGCTCTTGAAAGTGCAAGCGAAGCGATTGAAGGAACACACGCAGTTATACAAATAACGTGCCTGCAAGAAAACAACGCCTCTGCACTTTTGAGCGGCAGAAATCATCTCAAAGCAATCGTGAAGAGTGCCCACGACAGGAATTGGACTTTTAGGTTTTTTTTTGTCCTTTTAATGCAGTGTGGCTTGAAACCTCGGTTTTAAAAAAACTACTCGGGATATTGAGTAGGTGTTATGGAGCAGCGTCTGCTTTGCGTCAGTACAATGACGAGTTAACATATGCAATGATCTCTTTGATTTTACCATTGTCCATTCACAAGTAGTTTATTTTAGTAAGATGAAGGATTGAAACGACACGCTGTCTCTTTTTAATTATATCCAGCTTGGTAAACGCGTTAGGTGTGTATAGAAGTAAACTAAACGTCTAATATTGTTGTAATATTGTCGGGCATTAATTTTTTTGTTGCCAAAACCCGTTATGAATACATCGTTATTGATGTGATATGCGCTAAATTCAATGTACTCACTGACATGCAAAACAATGACCCAAAGTGCAGGTTACACGCCAGCAGTACAGCAAATAGGCTTTATGAGCTTGCTGTACCGAGTTTGAATGTTTTTCTTTGGAGACTATGGTTTCCTCTAGAGTTGAATTAAAAAAAAATGAATTGGCCAAACATCGGAATCGAGGGCCCTCCAAAGTAGAAGACGTGAGATGAGTAAAGATTTCTTGTGTAAACATTTCCAACAGTCATCTCTATTATACGTGTGATCTAAGTTACTGTAATGCACACGTGTTCTAAGTATGGATAATATTTTTTAAATGAGTAATATTCGGGTTTTGTAACGTCAACAGTTTTTAGGGGCGTGCGCGTGCTCAGATCAGCATCGTTTATTTTAAGCCCACGCATTTCACGAGCACTTTCCACATCACGTAAACAGAACTTGGAGCGGTTACCCGCAACGTAGAGTTAGTGAAAAGTCTGCAATGCTATCTGGACTTATCCAATTAAGCGACTTTGCAATGCATGCTCACCAGCCCTTACGATGACACAAAGTGAATATAGTACTTGGTCTCTTTTCACATGGTAAGAGGGTTTTTTTCCAAGTAAAATTTGCAATACCAAGGCTGGTTTTACAATTAACTTGTCATATCCGGTATCCAGGTAAAGTTAATCTGAGTATCAACGCTGCATGGTATTTTTTTTGGTCAATTCCAATTTAAGAAGCTAATTAGTATGATTTGTCATGTAAACAAAACATGCAAATTCGTTACGAGTACAACACACCAGTATGTTGGAGAGTAAACACACAACATTTACAACTCCAGTACGACGTTTCGGCAGTAATTACGAGCATATTTGCGGAGAAATCCTATTTCGTTCTTAAATGGGGGATAAATGTGATGTCGTAACTTGTGAGCCAATCAGGTGCGAAGATCAGATGGGGGAAACGGTAAAATAACAAACACATCGTTTACCGAAAGAAAATGCACACTGACGCCTATCTGAATGCAGTCACACCATCACCCCGAACAGAAATCATCTTGCCATCAAGACGCTCATTCATGGGTCTAAGAAAGTGTCAGATGGTGATAGTCTGAGAAGTGAAATGAACCAAAGAAGTGCTGCAACTGAACGGTTACAATGATGGACAAATCAACAGGGCATTGCATACCAAAATAAAATCAAATATCACAAGTCTTGAAACCGACCAAGCAATTAAACTATTAAAATACCGTACCTTGCAGGAGTAACTGATAAACTAGCCAGATTTTTGGAAAAAAACAAAATATTCGAGTAAAAATTTGGCATGGTACATAAAATACAGAAACTAATATCTGGTACTAAAGATGGGTTATTGAAGCTATCAACAACAGGTGTGGACCCGATTAATTGCTCTTGTGGCAAATGCTATGTTGGTCAGACAGCACGAATGATCAGCACGAGACTAAAAGAACACCAAAAGAATATTAAATATTCCCAAAATACAACTGTCGGCAGTGGCAGAACACACGTGCCAACAAGGACACCAAATTGATTTTGATGTTCAAGTTCTGTGCAAAACTAGTTACTACTGACCAAGACTAATTAGATAATCTATCGAAATTGAGAGAAATAAAATAATTGTAACCGTTCTGATAGCTACAGGCTTAGTGCTGCTTGGAAGCAAATCATCAAGTAATATACTGTTTAACTCCGTGCCTATACAGGTTACCATACGTCGATGGTGATTAACTGAGCAGACAAGAGGAACTGCGATTTTCGTGCACCCAAACAACAGCAGGCTGTAAGAGCACAATGTACGTGCACAATGAATGTGGATTACCCGATGAAAAACCCACCGGTAACGGATATTGATTGTAATGTATATGCATTGCTTAACCCCCCTCCCTGGCCTTCACACCTGATTGGCTCACAAGTGACGACATCGCACTTATCCCTCTAAGAACGAAATAGGATATTTCCACAAGTCTGGCTGTCGCCTGATGATGCTAGTTGTAATTACTGGAAAAACGTCGTACTCCAATTGTTTATATTCTTTGGTTCTTTCGGTAAAGTCAGGAAGATAGGAAAAAAATAACAAAAATAAAGTAAATAAAAATATCACGACGTTTCGATCGCAACACAAGCGGTCGTCATCAGGAAAAGGGGGTTAGCCTCTAAAGGCAAACTGTTTATAAAGGTTTGGAGATGGGCGTAGCTTTGCTGATAGACTTAGGCTAAGTGTATCGACAAAGGTTTATTAAGGTTTGGAGATGGGCTAGGGCCATCTCCAAACTTTTATAAACAGTTTGCCTTTAGAGGCTAACCCCTTTCCCTGATGACGACCGCTTGTGTTGCAATGGAAACGTCGTGATAGTTTTATTCACTTCATTTTTTTTCTATCTACGTGATTTTACCGAAAGAAGCAAAGAATATGAATTCTTGCAGTCAGGAAAGTTAAGTCAAATTGTAAATGTTATGGGTTTACTCTCCAACACACCTATGTGCAGTACTAGTAACGAATTAGCATGTTATGATAACGTGACAAACCTAATTGGTTGTCGGGTGGTGGCGGGTTTAACGACACATTTATATTTAAGTAATCTAAACAACAAAAAACCTTTTATGAACCAATTTAAGGAGCTTTGTGTGTAGGAGGAAACCGTAATGCCTGGAGAAAGCCCACGCATGAGAGGACGTAATATTCAAATGTCCACACAAATGCATTCGAGCACCCACATGCTAGACTGTCAACTTCCGGCCACCGTTCAGCCCAGAGTATTGGGGATTGTCACAAATTTGAGTGATCCACCAACCGTTGCCACCTCTGTCTTGGATTGCAGGATTGGCCCACCACAAAAAAAAACTTGTTATTAAAAAAGAAACTTGATCGTTGATATTTTCCACTAAGTATTAACTGGAGTCAATTTACTTAAGGATGTTAATGAAAAATACGGCACATGCTTTGTACTTAAGACACTGTTAAAGTGTGTCGTAGTACAATGCGTTTACATACAAGTTACACAAGACCTTAAACACATTATTTTTCACATTTATTGTACACCACTGTGCATTCATGTTTATACAGACAAGATTACACGCATTTTTAAAAAATGTAATTAAAGGATGAAATCCTTCACAACCTTTCTAACACCCAGAGTTGTTAATTCAGCATAAACACAACAGGAAAATATGCAAACACATTCTGCTCTCATTCTGTGGGTACATAAACTTAAAATTTACGAGACTGGAACTACAAATGCCAATTAAGTGGAATTCAATTTACCCAGAAACTCTAATCTATTTTGTGCATTAAACCTCGGTTGAATTTGTGGTCCAATATCCTACTTGTGTGGGTAGATTCATTGTATCTTACTCTCCCATTGAACAAACAGTTCAGATATTTTTCAATTTAAACTTTAATATCCAATAATAATAATAAACGAATTATAATTACTGAAAAAAATGTAACCGAAATAGACAAGATATGTATTTATAGTTAATGTCAAATGTTTAAACCCTTCATCAATTATTCCGCCAGAGAAATGGCGTCACCATGCCCCGTCAGTCATTAAGGTTGTTAGTCCATACTTCACCTTACTGGTCAATGCACCTTGCTGAAGGAGAGCCAAGGACTGGTCCAGATATCCCTTGCCAAGGACCTTAGCTGTGGCCAAGCATAAATTTAAGGTAGCTGGGTGCAGTGTGCTAATCACTGCATCAACGCTCCGTCCCCCCCAAATTTGTAATCATTATTTTAATTTATTTATAAATAGGAGAGAGTACTTAGATACATAAAGTCGACATGAACCTAAGCAGGCATCAACACCAGCTGGAATATACCCGAATCATGTTACTTGCATAAAACAAAATGTGTGAACATCAATGCGCGGTTCAATGCAGTTGTTAATCAAGGTGAGCGGTCCAAACAGAAGAGCTCCTGTGCCCCATACGCTCAAGCCATCATGACCGGCCTGGCCTCCTGTGCTTCCAGTGCCACTCCGGAGCCTGAGAAGCCGGTGCCACCCTGGGAACAGAGGAAAAAAAACAAAAATAAAGACAACCACAGGGACGTGCAGGGTGGGCCAGAATAAAGAGTTTGCGTTCCTCTGCTGGCACTTGCTCCGCACGTCATTGAACGCGAACCCATTATTCTAGCTAATTCCAGCTTCACATAGACATCATCAAACCAACCCCTCTGCAGGGTGAGGGCAGTGCAACCTTGAGCAGTAACCACAATGCAGGTCTCCCTGAACTGATGCACACCGTGCACTCCTAAAATAAACATCCACATTGCTTTTAGAGGTTTCGCTGTTGGGAAACGCCCACATTAATCCACATAATGTAAATAAAAAGTGGCGCGCACACCCCTACAGCTGCCTACTCCCCCGTGGAAATGGTAAACCACTGGAGAAAAGGATTTGCAGCTCGCGAGTAATAAATACCGCTGGAAGAGCTGCAAGTTGCACGATCCATTATGAAGTTTAGCTTTCAAACGCTGTGCCAGTGATCAGCAGCTGTGTGTGTGGAGTAGAGACGACAGCTTAATACGTGTATAAGGTGGAACATTATGGGCTATACGGGCAAGAGACTTCCAGAAAATGGACGTGGATGGAAGAAAAGCAGGCAGGAAGCAGTTTGGTTAAATTAATTAATACAAATGAAAAATATCAGAACTGAGGCTGTCTGCTCCACTCTCACACCCTGTTATTAGTAACGGCTTCCAAACATACAAAGAAGCACTGATATTATTTAATACAACTGAGATGAGGCAAACATTGTACTTATTTTCAGTGAATAGATAAATAATGTATTCATGAAAAGCCTAAGTAATAGTGCAACATGCATTCAATACAATAGAAGCACACGTACACTCAATACAACACACGCACACACTAAACACAAAACAACGATCACCAATATGGCCTTTACCAGACTGTTGGGGCGACTGTGTCGTTAGCGAGCACCTATTAAAGCGGGCACAGCACACGAGGTCGTGGGCTTGCCAGCACTATGCTGGGCTGCCTTTGTTTCCAGAGTACTGTTGCTGACACACCACACAAGCTACTCATTTAAGGCTTAGTCAGCCTCGGGGAAGACCAGGACCAGTTCAGACATTCGAAATTGTTCGTAGCACAGCGTGCTAACCACTACACAACTGCTCCCGCCACATTAAACACAACACGGGTACACACACTCAGTACAACACAGACACAAACATGCTCAATACAACGCAAGTGCATATGTGCAACAAAAACACATACACACACTCAAGACAACGCAGGCACACAATCAAATAATTTATTATCACATACAAGTACAACAAGCTTGATGTTTACCACGTGGTTGGAAAAGTGAGTGCGTTGACATTTAAAAAAAGTTTTGTTCATCACATTATTACGACCTTTTTTTCATGAGGACAATTACGTTGTTTAGTTTTAATTCCAATCTCTAAGCAGAAGCCACATCTACCGGTAGAGGCTAAGAAATACTGGATGCCATGGGTTTTGCTTTTGTCTACATCTCAAAGATTTGTTCATTCCAGGCCACACCATCCGTGTGGGCTCAGGGTCAAAATGTGCTCAGCCATCTGGAAGAGAAGCTGGGTCTGTGTGCCCTCCTTCAGCGGATATTGAAGATCCGCCGAGGATCTTGGCGAATAAAGGTCATGGTGTGCCGCGTGCTCGCCAAAATTACATTTGGCTCACTGACAAAACGAGAGGCCTGTTTGTAAACAGGCAGCACGCAACTCTGACAAGCTCATTATTAATATCATCAATAACGTAAACAAAATAACTATTTAAGTATAACAATCCCATTCTGTGCAGTGACACAGAAGACCTTATTGTACTATAGCTCACATAAACAACACATTTCACATTCATAATTAAAACCGCCTTCTCACAATTGAATACATGAGCTCATATTTTGGACAATCGTCCTTCAGAGGACAAGATTGCACCTTGCAGTATGGTGCCTTAAAAACATTTGATAAGGTTGACATATGAACAACTTATCCCCACATATACTCTGTACAGACCTTTGTTAATCCACTGCTGGATGAAGGGGATGTTGTGCAGTGCGCGTAGGGATTAATTTACCAACTTTACCACTCTGGTCTTTGCATGTTTGTGAACGCGGGGAGCACATATGTGCATAATAGAAGTATAATAGTATGTTGCTGCAATACCCTTTGGTGCTCACAACTGAGCCTGAACGTGTCTACGCCATATGCACATATACCTATGTATGCCATGATCACTTGTTGTTGCGTTATGGCGATACAATGAAACATGGTACGACATACGGTTCAAGATAATCATACTGTCTATTTGCAGACTATCTTTTTGTATGGTGATTATTTTGGTTTATCAATCATTGGGAAATATACTTTCTTCAAAAATCATTTATTTCTTGAGAAATATTTCTCCATAGAGCAAAATAACAATAATGGCAGTTCGAAGTAAATATCTATTAATCATTAAATTAATGCTTTGCAAGGTGTTTTCTGTAATAAATAATGGTATGACAGTTATGACTCCATCATTTAGCTCATTCATCAAATAATTGTAATTTAAAGCACGTGCATTATAAGCATTATACAGTGAGGGAAAAAAAAATTGATCCCCTGCTGATTTTGTACAATTGCCCACTGACAAAAAAATGATCAGTCTATAATTTTAATGGTAGGTTTATTTGAACAGTGAGAGACAGAATAACAACAAAAAAATCCAGAAAAACGCATGTCAAAAATGTTATAAATTGATTTGCCTTTTAATGAAGTAAATAAGTATTTGACCCCTCTGCAAAACATGACTTAGTACTTGGTGGCAAAACCCTTGTTGGCAATCACAGAGGTCAGATGTTTCTTGTAGTTGGCCACCAGGTTTGCACACATCTCAGGAGGGATTTTGTCCCACTCCTCTTTGCAGATCTTCTCCAAGTCATTAAGGTTTCGAGGCTGACGTTTGGCAACTCGAACCTTCGGCTCCCTCCACAGATTTTCTATGGGATTAAGGTCTGGAGACTGGTTAGGCCACTCCAGGACCTTAATGTGCTTCTTCTTGAGCCACTCCTTTGTTGCCTTGGCCGTGTGTTTTGGGTCATTGTCATGCTGGAATACCCATCCACGACCCATTTTCAATGCCCTGGCTGAGGGAAGGAGGTTCTCACCCAAGATTTGATGGTACATGGCCCCGTCCATCGTCCCTTTGATGCGGTGAAGTTGTCCTGTCCCCTTAGCAGAAAAACACCACTAAAGCATAATGTTTCCACGTCCATGTTTGACGGTGGGGATGGTGTTCTTGGGGTCATAGGCAGCATTCCTCCTCCTCCAAACACGGCGAGTTGAGTTGATGCCAAAGAGCTCCATTTCGGTCTCATCTGACCACATAACTTTCACCCAGTTGTCCTCTGAATCATTCAGATGTTCATTGGCAAACTTCAGACGGGCATGTATATGTGCTTCCTTGAGCAGGGGGATCTTGCGGGCGCTGCAGGATTTCAGTCCTTCACGGCGTAGTGTTACCAATTGTTTTCTTGGTGACTATGGTCCCAGCTGCCTTGAGACCATTGACAAGATCCTCCCGTGTAGTTCTGGGCTGATTCCTCACCGTTCTCATGATCATTGCAACTCCACGAGGTGAGATCTTGCATGGAGCCCCAGGCCGAGGGAGATTGACAGTTCTTTTGTGTTTCTTCCATTTGCGAATAATCGCACCAACTGTTGTCACCTTCTCACCAAGCTGCTTGGCAATGGTCTTGTAGCCCATTCCAGCCTTATGTAGGTCTACAATCTTGTCCCTGAAATCCTTGGAGAGCTCTTTGGTCTTGGCCATGGTGGAGAGTTTGGAATCTGATTGTTTCTGTGGACAGGTGTCTTTTATACAGGTAACAAGCTGAGATTAGGAGCACTCCTTTTAAGAGTGTGCTCCTAATCTCAGCTCGTTACCTGTATAAAAGACACCTGGGAGCCAGAAATCTTTCTGATTGAGAGGGGGTCAAATACTTATTTCCCTCATTAAAATGCAAATCAATTTATAACATTTTTGACATGCGTTTTTCTGGATTTTGTTGATGTTATTCTGTCTCTCACTGTTCAAATAAACCTACCATTAAAATTATAGACTGATCATTTCTTTGTCAGTGGGCAAACGTACAAAATCAGCAGGTGATCAAATACTTTTTTCCTTCACTGTAGATTGTAAAGTTGCAATTATTAAAACACTTATGACATGCTTATGTTGAATGAACTGCAGTCTATGACCTTTGAAATCATCTTTATTTGTACTGGAAGTACAGCAGAGCACAAAAACCATAAAATATGAAGACAAAGTGATGGATAACAGACAGGGGCGGAGCCAGGATTTTCAGCCCGGGGTGACATTTAACAAATTTTAATTTCAAGAATGATTAGAGAGTCAGGCTGTTGAACTAGACGCCATCGGTTGGCGACACACTCTGACAATGCAGTTGCATGGAGTCCGCCAGACCGAGTGTCGTACACTTATACGCAGAATGTTTCAGATTTTCGATTTTTATTTTTTTCGGGGGTGACAATTGTCTACCCTGTCACCCCCCTGGCTCCGCCCCTGATAACAGATATCTCAATGATCATTTTGTCGTGGAAATGAATAATGTACCGTGAAAATATCGTGGCAACGCTAGGTATAACGCTCACCCGTTGGAGTTGAATGATATCCTTCTCGGAGAGGGCTTCTCCAGTGGTGGGGTCTATCATGTCCTTGCGGATGAGCCTCTCCACACACTCCATAGTCACCACGGCACCCCTGCATTGACATGGGAGACAAAGATTCCCTTGTATTGCTGTAACAGACTGTCGGGGCAAGTGCTGTGAGCGAGCACCTTTGAAAGTCGCCACGGCATCCGAGAGAGAGGTGTGGCTAAATACCACACCCGGCCACCTTTTTCTCCCCAGTGTTGATGATTACACACCTTACTGGGTATTCATTTAAGGCTGAGTCGACCTAGCGGAGGCCCAGGACCGGTTCAGATATTCACCACTGTTAATTGGTCGTGAGCGTGAATCGAACTCAGGTGGCCGGCTTTGTAGTACAGTGTGCTAACCACTCCACCACCGCTCTCCAACACAATGTCCCAATGCTAATTATTGTTAGAACATTTTTACAAAATGCCAGTTTATTGAAAATCATTTTTCTTGTTGTAACGTTCCGATTCCACGGTGCAATTTCACGTACATGTTGTGAGCCTAAATAAAAAAAATATCAATAGATGCATTGCTACACTCCTGATTAACGGCAAATTCAAGTGAAAAGGAAGTGATGTCGCAGTAGCTTCACAAGTGATACAATGGAGTGTAAACATTAATTTAAAATCTGTTCTTCTCATTATGCAAATTTCAAACCTGTTTGAAAGACAAGCACACACAGCCTCGATACATATCTACCATATAACAAGCACAATTTAAATGTAAATAATGCCCGAAAGCGACTGCATCTCAAAATGCTTTAGAAAACAATAACTGCTTTGGAGCCTTATTTTCCTTAATATATGCTGTAGTTCTCCTGATATAAACAGCTGCAAGAAGAGAATGTGTCAGTCTCAGGACCATCACGTTTCATTACATTTATACGAAGATGTTTTATATCAACTTTGTGCGCAAAATACGATTAATTACACAACAGCATACCTCCTTACATTAGCACATCACATTTTATCGGTCCCAAAGCCACTATAAACTTTGATGAAACACTTTTCACCTTTTATATAACATCTATCAGCATCTATCTATCTTTTTTAACGTCAGGGTAAATGGCAGACTGTGCACAGGCTCCGCGAAGATAAAGTAAATAAATATATTACACATTTAAAAAAAGCATTGCCAGTCGGTCATCCGGAAACACTTCACCCCGCGCTTGCCCCAACCCCTCTGAATCATCAGATAAATCTGCGACACTGGGCTGCCATGTCTATTGGGGTCAAGTCGCCGTGGCTATTCGGGGCAGATGTACACAAATAGGGGACTGGGCTTGGGAGGCAAAGGGCAGCCCTTTCAACGTTCAACGACTGATCATAACTTTGATTGAATGCGATAGTGCCATGCAGCGTATTAAACTGCAAATGCCACGCGCATGTCCGATCCGCTGTGGCCACTTTTCACTGGCGCGGTGTTGTAAACGCAAAATAACCTCTGGGTCTTTGGCACTGGCGTTGTGAAATGGATGGCTGTGCTCTACCTTGATGATAAATAATAATAAAAAGTCAGAATACACATTCTGAAGCAAAATCATTACCAGCTTTGCTAACAAACCAAACGCATATTAAACATATGCTGATACTTTCATTTTCATGATTGGTTTGCCAAAATTAATTTTAACTCGTATGTATTGCAAGGGGTATTTTTATTCAAATGTGCGACATTTTGTCAGTGCCAATAATTTAGAAAACCAGCAACAAAGACATTGGTGTGCTTATTTCTGGAACGCAAGCTGTGCAGGGTCCAACAGCCATTAACAAGCAAGAAATGAAAATGCAGGGAAAAGCTCGTAAATAAAGTTCGAGTAAAGACTCTAATCACACGCCGCGGCACTTGGCACGGCTTCTCTGGGTCAGGCCCGCAAGGGACATTCTGCAGGTGCGTACGAGCACTGCTCTTGTAAAACCCAAGGTGATTTTCCCCCCCCCGTCCATCGCCCACCACCACCGCCGCCGCCACCGCCAGGAAGGGTGGACTGGCGCACAGATGTCACAGTAAACACCCTTATTATTGCACTTGGGGATTATGAGCCAGGGTCACACCGTGTACAGTCTCCCCCGAAACAAGTTTTACTTTCCTACAACAGTGCTGAGATGGGCTTTTTCCCCATGTATGGCCTAAAGAGTTGCCAGAAAGGTGAAGTGAAAATGTTTTGCCCATCAGACATGTACACTTGTGTTTCCAAGTGGTATTTACAGTTTTAAAAAACATGCGGTCATCCCGGTTAATGCCAGTGATACTATTCAATCTCGAGTGAAATCTTCTTCTTCCACACCCCATAACTGCTACAGTCAACTTACAAAGGTCTAGAATTACTTTTAAAAATTAAAATATTGTGTTTTATCTGATTCACCTTCATTTAGAGTTAAGCATTTCTGTTTTGAATGTAAAATGCAAAAAACGACTTGAAGACGTGTGACTTAATGGTTGCTAATGGTTTTGTAAGGAGCTCTGCTCAGAAAAAAAATGCGTGCATTTAAAGTGTTCATAAAATAACTACCACAGAATATTAGTCTATATGCAGTTTAGACAGTGCTCGATAAAAGCTGAAAATTAAGTTTAGATGATGATTAATATACACCGAGTTATTATCAGCAGCCATCATCTATCCACTGCTGGTTGATGGCCTCCCCAAAGAGTCGCCACAATGTACAATGAGTTACCAATGAGTTAAAAAAATGCAGAAATCAACAACCAATGATAAGAAATACTGCACATTAGAAAAATATTGAGAAAACATTTTATCTCGTGTTTATTTTTTATTTTCTTTTGTAATAACACAGTGGCAACTAAATCTCCACACTCCATAAATACAGAGACCATGCTATGCTGGAATGCAGTGGCATGCCAAACGAGGTTGCTCGGTTCTCTGCTAAAACATGGTGAATCCTACAGCAGATATCGGGCAAGACATGCCAAGCATAGCTTCCACTGCTACCAACACAGAAATGCAGGAAGCTTTAGATTTATCCACGAACAATTTGTAAGGTCTTACCGCACAAAAAAGTTACTTTTTCATGAAATACTGCATGCCAAGTTGTTTTTGGCATTTTATTTGCAGAAGCTGCCAATCAAAACTTTTAAAATTTAGTTCATTTTTTAATTTAAGTTTTTTGAACGTGGAGAAAGCCTCGTCATGTAAGCAGATTGCTCTACTTCCAGTAAATACAACTGCAACATATATTTTTAACAGCTGCAGTTAAAATTGTTTCATTAATAAACCACAATATTAGTGCATTTCACCACATTCTGCAATTCATTAAGGACAAATAACTCATACCCAAAATGTACGAAAAGTGAATCAATTTTTTGTATTCCCTTAAATGCTATTATTCTGAATAGAATGATGATGTCTGTGCTATGCCTGCGAGGCCAGCTACAATCACACATCATATATCATTACCATGCCCATTCTGACATTACAATAAAGAAAATCTTTTAAAACTAAGATTAGTGCCTGATTTGGAAAACAAGCAGAACAATTGTAATTAAGTCCATCAATTACTTATTTTAGATGCAGCCAAATTGTAAAAAGAGCAGTTTTAATGAAAGACTACTTATTTTTGTATACAGCCAAACAGAACACATACACACACATGTACCACGGAATTACTTGTTGCTTACTTTATAAGACAAGTTGGCAGAGAAATAAGAAAATGAAGCCGAGATTGATGGTACACAAGAGTCTTGGGTCTCTAAATGATGTTTTCTCAGTGACTATTAATACCTTTAACTAAAATCTCGTCGCACATACCATCTGGCCTTCTCTACTTAAAACAAAATATGTAGCAAGAGCCAAACGCAGCGATCCCTGGGATGACAAATTGATAACCAAAGAATGTCAATTTATTTAAAACTTCCTCTCAATTCTCCAATGGGTATGGAGACCGGAAAGTGTGATGGTATCGCAATGCTAAGCACCAGAATTTGTGATAAATAATTAATTAAAAGGAACACAACCTCACTTTTTTTTTGGTGCCCAGCTCCCTGCAGAATAATACATCAGCCCAATGTTTAAAGAACATTCCTCTAAAGCCAGACAACAGTATTCCCTATGGCACAGTGAGAGGTGACACTATTTAAACACAACAAATGCTTTCAACACTCACTGCTTCTCACTATGAGCAGGTTCAACTAAACCTAAATGTACATGAATATCGCTAAAATGCCATCCTGTTAAACGTCAATTCCACCAAAGAGAACACAAATCTGCGACATCTGCACAAGATGCGTTTGGGCTGCCTAGCGCAAAACGCAGATGTCCGTAAGCGAACAACAAAAGCACTACTGGCATTGGCTATGATCCCTGTTAAAGGCGCGTGACCACTGCTGGCCATCAGGGGGTTTTACACAGTGCTTGCGCTACAAAGTGCTCTGTTATGCCTCAAGCGCAGGCAATGCGCCTGACGGTAATGAGCCCCCGGTGGCCCTTTTACGGCCCATGCCAACAGCTACAGCCGCTTGCAAGCCGCACTATAAAACCACATTCCACCGAGGTGAAAAAAGTGCCCCAGTTTTCAACATCTACGGATTAATTTACAACATTAAAATAACGCGCGCTCCACCGCCAACGTATAAACCTTGAACGGGAATGACAAATTATTAGGGGGGGGTGGGTTTCGTGGCCTTTGTACTGTGCACGGGAGGGTTACCGGGTGTAGAAAGAACTTCTGTTTAAGTGTCAGTGTTTAGGCTCTCAGGCGGGGTTAGGATTGAGGCAAAGGTTATAGGGCAATAAGATTAGGTCTCGTGTTTGCCATTTTGGCTTAGGGGTAATAGTGGAGGGGATAAGGTAAATGTTAAAGTTAGCGATGGTGCTAGTGTTGGGCATTTCAGCTCAGAATTACAATTTTACGTTATGAGTTTAGTGTTCATAAAGTGAATAGCTATAAACATGATTTGCATATGAGGGTTTTATGTTAAATGTTGATAACATACTTAAATAGATAGGTTCAGAATTAGTATAAGTGGATTTTAAGTGAATGTTGATAATAGTGCTATATGGTTATGTTCAATGTTATGGCGGGTTTAGAGTATGTTCATAACAGTTTGGTACAGCTTGGATCCGTGTTAGCAGCAGATTGTTTAAAGTTACTTGTTCATAGTGATACCATGCTTCTTGCTTCAACGCCAGTACAGCGGAAACATTATTTATCCATAACCCTTTATACATTGCCGTCAATCAATCTGCGGTTATTTGGATGAGAACCCCTCTCATTCGCGAAGCTGTTTGTCCATGTACATCGCCCTTAGCAACGTGAAGAGCTTGCATATTAGGTTCTACATTTATAACATTTGTTGTGACACATAGTTGAGAAACAAGGACGTTGACAAAGATCGTGGAACAAAGGTTGAAAAGTTCTCAAAGGGGCATGGAGAGAGGTGTGGTTAAAAGTGAGACGTAAGGAGAATAACATGGATCGGAGCACATATACGCAAGTTAAATATATTAATTGTCATATTGACCATTAAGAAGAGCAAGTGGACTTGAATGGACGAGACTAGTGACAGAGAGGCCCGAGAGGATGTGCACAGTGTGTATCGAGCAATGAAATCAGCTCCTGTGAAATTGCTAGATGAATTACTGAACTGAAACAAAGTGAGATATAGCAATCGCTTGGAATGACCTCCATCATGGCTGATGATATGGTTAGGTTAATTGCTCATGTGTATATTTGTATTATTGTATAAAGAGGTTTTAAGTTCAGTGTTTATACCAGCTCTATATGATGGCTGATAACAGTTAAAACAGCTCTTTTAGAATTAGTATACAAGGGAAAAAGCTAGGCCAGCTTGAGATTTTGGTGCAACATACAGACTTTTTGTTTTGGGTAGGTGAAAACAATTGAGACCAACCAATTTCCATCAGTGGCCTTGTCCTGCCATGTGGAAGGAGCAAATAGAGGCCAACCACACAGGTGGTGGAATGGTGCTATAAAGGAGGACCTAAAAGCCCACCAAATAAATGTTCACATGGCTGACGTCCAAATGAGGATTACCACTTTCAAACGGTCCCCAAACGATATTTGTGCATCAATTAAAGAATCATAGCTGCACTAATTCAGTGCTAGAGGGGAATATTTGTTTTACTTGACAAGCACCTCTTGCAGTGAAATTAGAAACACGGTAAATTAGAAACACAGGTTGAAAACCCCAAAAATATTTTAATGTCCAATATAGCCCTCAGGAAACACTTCCCCACCTCTGCGATAAACTGTCAGGTTGAATAGTGATGTCTCTTCCTGCACTTTAGTTTTGTCAGCAGGCTGGCACTGGTTCTATTCACTCCTCAGTCAGGAAAATATTCCACTTCCCTGTGCTACGCACTTAGGTTGAATATGCATGTCTTAAGTACGTACTCGTTCATAAAGCTCGTCTTCGCCAAGCAAAAGTTTTAAATATATTAATTAACCTGACATGATTTTTACTTTTTTTTTTCTACGATCAAACACCAACTACTCCAAAAATATGTAATTTTCTGCAAAAAATGTTTTTTGACGACTTGCTTCAACTTATAGGAATAGGTTTTACCCTTTTAACTGGCACAAAAACTGACACCTTTATTCAAGGCATCATGTTTGCAATAACCACAACACAAGCAGTCAAAATGCAAACAAAAAAGACAACTCTGATAATAATATGCACTGTCCTTGAATTTGATTGGTCCACACCCGAGACAGCTTTTCTTAGAGCCTAGTCTCCATTGGTGTTGGACCAGAAGACGCCAAAAGGCGTCTTGCTTCAGGCGTACCTACGCCTTTTGGCGTCTTCAGGTCCAACACCAATGGAGACTAGGCTCTAAGAAAAGCTGTCTCGGGTGTGGACCAATCAAATTCAAGGACAGTGCATATTATTATCAGAGTTGTCTTTTTTGTTTGCATTTTGACTGCTTGTGTTGTGGTTATTGCAAACATGATGCCTTGAATAAAGGTGTCAGTTTTTGTGCCAGTTAAAAGGGTAAAACCTATTCCTATATCTTGTTTCTGGCAAAGGTCTCATAATTGCTTCAACTTCTTATATTTAAAGACGTACCTATCAGAAACCGCTCAATATGTAAATATTCCGTCCTTTTCTTATAGAAAGAACAAAAAATAATTAACTGAATACTCTGAGGGAAGCTCCTATTTTTTACCGTTTTCAAATCATTCAGATTTTAACATCCCAAAATACTTATTTTTTTAGTGCAAAACCACTTTAATCCAAAATATCTAAAAAAAACAATAAAAGATCGAACAATGGTTCTTGCATTCATTTTATTTACTGTTTAACGCTCTATCAAACGAAAAAAACGCAATCTTATGTTTTGCACGATTTGTCAATGACACGCACAAACATGTTTATAGGGGCACTAAAAATCGAGATTTTGGGGGCCTTATATTTTTTCCTGTTGTGTCCTAAAAATTACATATGTACCAAATGTCAGCTTTCTACCCTGTCTGGAAGTATCTTAGAGGTTTTTGAGACACATACAGATTAAGGTATTTATTTATATAAATGCATGTTGAACCTTACGGACCCAACCATGCCAATCGGAGATCTCGCTGCATTCAAGTGTTGTGATCCCGGGTGAGGGACGAGCTGAGGGGTGGCGGGGGAGGGCTCTCAGGCTGTGGCACTCACGATGGACGCAGCACGGCGCACGGCACCGAGTTGCTGAGCACGTCGTTGGTGACAGCGCACACGAAGCGCTCCTGCTTGCTGATGAGCGCCGTCTTGGTGTCGCGATCATTTACCGCCGTGAACTTCACCGCGTACAGATCCTTCAGCCGCAGGGGACGCCCACTCATCGGGCAATACACGTTCTTGTCCTGCACGCGGCGGGGGAGGCAGAACGACCGCTCCGTTAGTTTTAGCAACATCTGCCGCATGGCGCTAGAAGTTGTAATTGTTTTTTTTTCCCCTTTGTTGCACGATTATATTCCATTACGAGTCGAAAAAAGTTATTCGAAAATCTCACACCTCTACTGTGTAGGTGTTCGCACTTGTGCTGTATAGCTCCGATGCGTTTTCAGGTTGTACCACGGCAAACTTCTTCAGGAACTATTCCATTTCTTAAAGAACTACTTGGGAACTATTAAATTCCTGAATAAGTTCCCACACATGTGCAGGGAAACATCAGAGATCAAGCTAGACAACATCCAGTACAACACAACAACACATCAGAGAACTCCTGTAGTTGTAAGTGCATCGTCTTGTGTCGGATTTTGGCCCCAAAAAAGATGACGTCCCACAACTACTTCCGAAATAACTTCAGTAGGTGTATTTATCCATACTAGAGGCATACATTTTAATTCTCTGTATAGAGTGTTAATCATATGTGACTAGGCTGAGACAATCAACTCACTACAACTGAGAATGTAGTTTAACCATTGTTAAGTCATATATCATTAGTTTTAACTGTAAAATACTTGGGTGCTCTTATCAACTTAAGTTAAACTGAAACGCACCTATGGCAAAAAATGTAATTTGGAGATGCTGAAATTGTCTCCTCATATGTGGGAAGTTAATGGGACTGATTGCATATTGTGGTTCACATCTGGGATGGAGTAATTTTGAGATTTGTTGGTGGACCGCAACGTAATGAAGCCATGATGTGCGAGGGACACCCAACTGAAGAGCCACAACATGCTCAGAACAATAAGGATGATTCTATCTTGATTTGGAGCTGACACACGGATTCTAACACAATATCTGTGGACATCTTACATGTTTTATATTTGTATCTCTATTTCAGGTGTGGATTTTCTCTGGTATTGAAATGTACAGAAAATTAGGATTAGCCAATTATAAATGATTGCTTCTCGTCTTAATTCAACAATAAAAATGTCACTCATAAAATAATTCCTATTTATTTCCCCTCTGAAGGCAAATGCAGCTCAAAACCCTGTACAGAAAAGAGGTAATGGGCTTACATCTGAGTAACAAGACAAAACACAACTGCTGATTCACATATCAAATTATATCACGCCGTCTTTAATGTATGTACAGCTATTTTGTCAATGCAGGAGTGTATGACAGCTTCCCTGTGCAGTGTAGATCCATAGGTTATATCGACCATACTTCACCACGTTGGTCATTGAAGGGTCGTGAAGGTGAGGAGTATCAATGGGGGGGGAATATAAGTTCAGCACAGCTATAGATTGTGGTACACTGCCATATGCCGTCATCCACGTAAACACGCAACCCTATGACAACCTCTTTGTGCGAGTGATTACCCATCCAAGCACATGTTTATAAGGTCGCACTCATTAGACACAAAGTGCTTTCCACAAATGAACCACAATATCTTGCTGATCTCGTCATGGAGCATAAACCATCACGTGAATTCCATTCATCCTCGCAGCAGCGTTCGGCTAACCATCGAACAAGGACGGTCACTGCATCGCGCGCTTTCGTATGGGCTTCTGCAGTCGCCTGGAACGGTCTTCCTTCCGATACTAAGAAGCCACAGGAGCTTTGCCCTTTTAAATCTAGATTTAAAACTAATTTCTTTAGAACTGCTTTTTGTGTCTAGTTTGTGGTCCTTCCCCGCACCTCTGATTAGCATGGTTGGCAACATACGGTGCGAAAGACGTTCAAAATACATACATACATAACCAAGCCAACCATGTCCATTCCATGTGATTTTGTGTATAGGTGCTCATGTAATTATATAAAATACAACTAATGTTTACAGATAGTGGATACGAACACGTGATGACCAGATCTATCACAAGCATCTACTAAAGCGATAACCATCTCTCGTGAGAATATCCAGATCGCGCTTTGGGACTCACTCCGAGACTGTGAGTGGCCTCCTCAGCTATCTGCTCTCTTGTCACTCACGTGTAAACACGCACTTTGCAGATAAGTAACTTCCACCAACAACAAGACCTCTTCTATTTCCCCACGCAAATGACAGGCTCAATGGGCATAATCTAAATTTACTGGCCTAAAAACACCATCAATGACAGCGGGCCAGGTAATAAATTATGCCTTATCTATTCTAATGCATCAGCTACCAAGGGAAGGCTGAGAAACACTTACATTCATTCTCCAACGTGTTTGTTAAATCAACTGTCAGCTGCCATGAAACATTGTGCTTGAAACATTGATGGATGAGACAGTGTTTAAAGCTAAATTGAAAACAAATCACTAATTATGCTCGAATGTTCCCACACCCTGTTTAACCCAATACAATGTTATATATGTTTATATGAAAAATGTGAATGCCTATAATGCAGGGGAACCCAAACGTTCATTGACTGAGATATACAAATATATATTTTTACATTTTTTTTATTATTTTAAGGACAAAAATCTGCCTTGTTTAGTCATGGATCTCTGGAGAATTTACTAAAATGAAAATACAAAATGACAAGCAAAATCATCGAAGCTATTGAACGTATATAAATGAAATAAATTCGACTTATCTTGGTAAACACATATTTGGGCCACCATTTCGAGCATTAAAATTATAACTAACATTGCATAGATTTAAAAAAAATCACACAGTGATGTACCGCTCTAAAGCATTTACATTTCAAGGGGTAGATTTAAAGTTTGAATCGCATCAAATTGTCCATATCATTATTTAGAAGGGAATACTCCACTTGGATAAAAAAACATGGATAATCACAAATTAACTAATATGTTCATAACTGTATTAATATATGTTGTAAGACATGCCATGTATCATTACGTATCACTATATCCTTCATGAATACCTCACTGAAAACTGGGAGGTTCTTGCTCAATAGAACATGGCACAGGCCCTCTCAACTCAGGGTGGCAATTTTAATTCTTGCGTAGGTCACTGGGGTTAATGAAGTCATTCTCTGACCCACCAGACTATGAATTTCACCAACTGCAGCCATCTACCCACTTAGACTACGTGTAAGCAAACAAGATGAGCAGCCCTGACAATTTACGTCAGGAGGGCCCATGCAATGCATCAGCAGTCAAAACAAACACCCCGCTGCACACCGAAGCCACATGGGTCAAGCGAAACCAATTGCTAGAAAACACTGCATTAGGGACCACCGTGAACCAATTCTATACGTGATGAAAATAACAGGTAAAATGTATCTATGGAGTGTGGCTTAAACATTCAAGCCCACCATTGCACACACATTTACCATCTTGTATGCATGTTGAACTTCTTTTGCACCGCACGTAGACAACTCTGCCAATACAATGTAATTCAACCGTGCGAAATAGCACTGTATGTCTCAATGTAATTTATTGTTGTATAAAGTAATTGATTTATTTATGGCGTTTAAGTGAGGACGTTAAGTATCCTGTGTAATGCTACTAATAATAATCAGCCACTGTCTATTGCTGGATGAAGGCCTCTCTAAGCTTGTTGTTTTTATCTACAGATGCGCAGCTGCAATCCATTCATCTACCAAAAGAGCCATGACCACTTCGTTTGATGTTCTTTGTGCTTGTCCCTAAAGCGCATGTTCCATGTCTCAGCTGCCACTAATAATATAATTCATTCATGTGATACATCGGCAATATTTTAAGTTTCACTTAACAAGTGCGGAGACAAAACACACCGAAATGCCACATAAATCAGTGTGAAATTCAGAGGCATTGAGTGAACAAGACGTACCTGTATGTTCATTGCACTTTCAAGCTGCCCTTTGCGCCAACTACACTTGCAGCGTAACCAACCAATCTTCCAGCTCTTCCACAGCTTTTATCAGGCAAGTCACAATTCAATTAGATGAATTGCTAAAGTTTGGCACTGAGATTCAATGCAAGTAAAACAAAATGTAACCACTGTACTAGATGTAGCGCAATATTAGCTTCAGGTTTTATATTACTCAATTAGATTAAAAACATAGTTTTTCTGCATCCCTTTGTCAATTAACCACTCGATGACAGCCTCCCCATGCCGTGTAAATCATGGTGGTAGTGGTGGTTGCATGACAATATTTCACCTGGATGGTGATTGCGAGTTGGTCAAGGCAAGCAGGATAGAAGTGGGAGAACAGAAGTACAGGACAACAGATGCCGAATGCCCTCTGTGTAGCACCACCAAACGAGCCTGTGACAACTCCACGTGCATAGTGGTTGCCCATATAAGCCCTCGCCAGGCAAAAAGCCTGCTTAGTTTCCAGGGCAAAATTGGGCGTATTCCAGGTGATTTGGTCTCAGTCTGTTCGTGGATATTGACAAATATTGGCGGCTACCAGTGTTGCCGCCAATACGAGCTTTCTTGAGCGGCAACAACAGCACGTTGTGAGGGGCAATAGCCAGCCAACCGTTCTCTCGCTGTGCAGGATTAAGCCTCAGCTCATCAATCAAGTGTTGCCGTGCTCCCAAACACCAGAGCCCCGCCGTACAGGCTGTCATGAACGCCGCAATTCTAAATACACTAAATCACCGATATGCGGCACCCACAGTACAAGCTCACAGCCAGCACCATTTTACAATCCCTTATTCGAATTCCTCAAGTGCAAGAAACTGACTCGGAACATTTTTCTCTAATGCATCAACACACACCGGACTTTAAGTAGTGAAAACAGATATTGGTTTTCATCTGACAAAAGTAACCTGAAAGCTAAAATGAAACACAAATTGAATACATCTATATATAGCTCCTCATGAAACACATACTTGTACTGCCATTATATGGATAACTGATATTTAAATTCCTTCATATTCTTTTATTTGAATCCTGACAGAGGCAATGGCAGATCTGTACCTGATTTATTCAAGGGGAGTGTGAACCTTAGCACAATTACGCATTCTGACTGCAGGAATGCATGTTATAGAGGATTACAATACACAGTGTTAACAATTACCTTTATTTATGGGACAACGCAATGTGAAAATTCCTCACCTCCCCACAAAAGCGGTTGGACCATATGGCTGCAGTGATGTAAGTGTTTTGAAAAAAGACAACATTTATCTTCCCTTACGAACGATGCAGAAGAAAAGCAGACCAACACAGACAATACTGGTCTCGGTGATTACGGGCATCTATAAACTCATGCACAGGTGCTAGATGGATTGGTGCATCACAAGACCATGCTAGATAGTGATGGCTTGAAAAGAACTTCATCCAGTAGAGGATTGCTCATAGCTAATAATAATGATGACAGTGTAGCCTCTTAAACCACCAATGCCACCCCATAATCCCCCGTGCCTCAGTGAATCATTGCTGTAGTACATTCTTGTGAGCATAAACCAAAGCACACAAGATAACGCACCTGGCCAGACAAGGCACAGAGTTCCCATTGAACAAACTATATCTATAAAAAATTGCAAACACACACTATGAGCGAGTTTTTCTCATGGAAATGCCCATTAAAAATGTGTGCAACCTACTCCTCTTCATTTGAGAAAACTTACACCTGCGCTAGCTACGCGGAGCTTGCAAGGAATATAATCTGGTGTTTGGATAAATATGCCGCTGTGATATACACCACTGCACTTTTTACAGGGGTTCCTGGCCTCTTTCAAGGTCCCTTACTCGCTATTTTACGAAGGATTGGCACCCTGCCCCAAGTACATATCTCTCCTTTTGCAGAAGGCCCATTTGTGCAGCTTGGTGAGAAACTTCAGGCTGCTGACATCACTATAAATATGTCCAGCGCCCTTAACAAGCCCATGCCCTTCATATCCGCTCCCACACACCCACCCTGAATGTTAAAGCCATTATTTTAGTGTAGAACACTCGTTGCTTAGACCAATACACAGCTTGTTAGCACTTAACACAACTCGTGACAGTTGAAATTATCGGGTGCAACAAAGTCCCCATAAAAATGAGTTGCCGTACGGCAGTTAGAAACGTGCATCTAAAAAACGCACCACTGCTTATTTATTCATCAGACCAAATTCTTGAGGCAGCCTAAATTTGTCAAGTTTCAACTTCACCAATGTTCAAGGGAAGGTGCATGTGTCCACATTATTCACTGCCCAAGCGCAGGTTGCTATGGCAAAAGATATATATTTTTAAACTATTCGAGGAATTATGCTGCTTTACATCTCAGCATGCAAGTTCCTATTTGAAAGACAATAAAAAGCAATACGCCCTATAGGGTCTAAACTTTGCCAGCGATGAATATCTTTGGTCAATTCCGCAAACGTGTTACATCTTTTACAGCAGAAAAAAAAACATCTTACCAAAGTAAAGTATTGAAGCTTATCATGTTCACCAAAAACAGAATGTAAACATTCTTTATTTTGAATTTATAAAGTGAACATTTGCTTGTTTCTGCCAAGACTGTAACATGTTTGTGGAATTGAACTCAAACAGACATTGTCCTGCTCCAATGTGGTTGTAACTGTTGCACCTGTTGTATATTGGGCACAAAACATAATTCCATGTGCGTGCAAGAGACGTGGGGTGTGGTCAGTGCAATGGCCAGTGCATCAAGCTCAAACCAATCACAATTTTTTTTATCGTCAATAGCAGCCAAGATACATGCACTGTTGGATGAAGGCCTTCCAAGCTGTTGCTATCTTGGTCTCGCGACACATCTATCTCCACGATGGACATGCCCTCGGATGTTTCCTCCTTTTGATGGCACTCCATCAAGAGTTTCATCCAACAGCCATCATCTTGCTAAATCCCACTTCTTTTGGCTTAACAGTCAGTGCATATCTTCTCTAACAAATGTGTTCCTCTTCCTGTTTCTCAGTTTAATGCCAAGTATGCATGTTCTTATTCGTGCACTCTTCAGCTTTTGTTCAATTCGTGTTGTCCTCGTCAAAGTTTCTGATCCACGTGCCATAGCCAGTAATATAAAGTGACAAACTTTTTTTCTAAAGCCCATTCGCATGCTGCTTGCCGTTATTAGAAAATAAGAACCAACTGAAAACCCATTTATTCTAAACCGTTCTGATTAAATGGCTCCCAATCAAGACGACTGGGCAGAAGAAGAGAGGAAGAGGTGTTGACAGGGTGCTCTCGGCCTTCATCGCGTCACACGCGCGCTCACTCACAGGTTTCTTCAGCTCCGTAGCCTTGGCCTCGGGCGTGAGCGACGGGATCCAGAAGCTGGGCAGCTGCTTGTCATGCAGATTGGCCTTGGCGCTGCTGCTGCTGCTGCTCCCTGCAGCGGGCTCCTCCGCGCTCGCTGGCAGATGTGCAAGCAATCGCAGTTCGGATCGCGTTCAGTAAAAAAAACACCGTTAGATGGGGTTAATCAACTGGTTTTCGGCGACCTTAAATCATAGGTTATTGTAGCAATCAGAAGGTGTATAGACACACAAATTTAAGATATGGAAAATTGCAAACAATTGGTAAAGATGTATATGTTGATGAGAATAAACATGTGGCTAGTAAAGGCCGTTATTACAGTGTACATGTAAAGCCACTTGTGTTAATTTACTACTCGGACTCGGTGAGGGCCACCCCACGGCATGCGGATCGTGGGGGTCAATTAACTTTGTCAGTACAGGTTGAAGGTGGGGACCATAGATGTGGAAGTGTATAAGTATAGTACAACAATTCATGTTATTGCACTGCCCTCTGCTGCCCACGTATCCCCACAGCCAATAACTTTCTGTACATGTTGGTCACCCATTAAAGTACTATTCAGGCTAAACCTTAGCTTACAAGATACGACAAATTCAGGCCCATCCCAAGGTGACATGATAGGTTTTACATTAAAAATCCAAAATGTGCTGAATAATCATGACTGAATAAAAGAAAAATAACCTTACCAACATAATTAGTTACAAAAGCCTCACTTGTTAAAGAGAACAGATGTAAATGAGCTTTCAGAAAGTCAGATACACTTTGACACATATGCGTGTTGTACTGACAAAAGCACATGTGCAGTTATCAGAGCACAGATCCAGAAGTGACCACTCGATTCGGTGTATTGGAGACTGTGCCAGTGTGTTTACGCCAGTGTACAGGGAGCGGAGGTGCAGCGGTTAGCGCGTTGAACTACGAACCCAGGATTCCTAGTTCAATTCTCGCTCACTGCCAACACTAGTGATGAATATCTGAACCAGTCCTGGGCCTCCCCTATATCGACTCAACATTGCCAAGAGGGTGACAATGGCGGCTGGCCGTGATGCTGGCCACCCACCCGCTTCATGTGGCATGTTGACCTTCATAGGTGCTCGCTTACATCGCTTGTTCTAAAAGTCTGTTAAGGCTAAATGGAAGATGTTTGTGCTAGTGTGTGGAGGTGACTGGTGACTGGTAACTGATAATTGCTACTCACTCTGAGAATGATTTGGAGATGCTAAAACTGAACCTGGACCATGCCACGAAGAGGTGGGGCTGTTGTGGAGAGAGTGGATAAGTTTCTGTGCCTCGGCAGTGTGCTTAAGGACACTTCTGGTTTAGCTAAGGAGGTCTCACTCCAAATCAGTAAAGCGGTATTATCTTTCATCAGCTACTTAACGCCGTGTGGAAGCTGCAGGGCCTACCACTCCATACAAAACTCCAGGTCTTCTGGTCCAGTTATACCCTATCCCCTCTCTATGCTTTTGAAATGGGAAACATTCAGACCGGCATGCCTACGATGCATCCTGAGTTTAACCAGACTGGATTATGAACTCGCAGAGCCTTGCAATATTTGGACACCGTCCGATCGGTAAGCTAATCTGGCAGGAGAGGCTGTTTTTGCTGGGTCATATAGCCCACATGCCCAGCCACCGAATGCCCAAGCAGCTTCTATTTGGCGGATAGAGGGGGCTAAATGGGCACGGCATGGTCTATAAAAGAGATGGACTGATGCCGTATAAAAGGATGTGGAGCTGGTTGGACTGCCTGATGACTGGTACCAGCAGTGTCAAGAACGGGTTCTTAGGAGGAGGCTCATGAAGGACACGACTAGGCAGTTGGAGGTAGGCGCCCTCCAACAACAATGGAGGACAGAGGAGAGACACTCAAAACAATGATCTGGGCGGTTAAAACGCGAGTTGGCACATGGGGAGTACAGGTGGTGAAATCTTCCAGTCATTTCAGTCAGTTAACTCATGGCACCTGAGTGTGTCCCGTGATCTCCTGCCAACGAGACTTCGACACTTCACGTGGCCTCAAGATGTACTGAGTTTGGCACAAGCGCCGTAGTGACGTCGCCGCCACTTAGTGGTGAACAGCGGTTGTTGTGGATGACTGTGCTAGTGTGTGCAGGTGACTGTGCAGCTGCGTTTGCAGGTGAATGCGAGCTCCAACCAGCAGCAGATTTGGGTGCGAAGGGGTTGAGGGGCTTGGAGATAATGGAGCCTTCTTTGGCGAGGAACGCCTTCACCTTGGACTCTTTCTCAGCCTTAGCCAACTCCTGTAACTCTGTGCTCTTCTTTTTCTTCTGTTTCTCGTACAGCTGCACCAAAGCCAAAATCAATAATTTACCCTGTACAATATCAAAAGTTTAACAATACAGTGTGAATAATGCACCATCGTAAAAAGTTCGCCTTGTATGTGAGCACCAGTGAAAGCCAAGGCCACATTTTAATTCATGGCGTTTGTTTTAACTAACTGAGAATCGTGAACATATTGCACGACTGATAAAAAGTACCTTTGTTTTCCTGACTGTCTCGCACTTCTGGTGAAGAATATACTCCAGGATTGCCTCTTTCTCGTACAGAAATCCATCTGGCCTGCAATCACAGCAGCAGTGAACAAAGAAAATGAGAGATGGAGGATACATTATTTTTAAGCCCATAAACACTGCTTAGTTTCACAATAAAATAATAATCATCGACTTCTACCCACAACCACCTTAAAGCTGTCTCTGGCCAGATCAAGGTGAGGGTTTTCTATACAAAGTTATAGGCAATCTCTACGTGTTTTTTTTGTTGTTCAAATAGTCCGCGAAGGTGTGGTCCTGCTGTGGTTTATTCCATTATTTGATTTGTTAATTAATGAGACTGTGGGGACTCTCCCATCTGGAGGTCTGGGAGTGGTTTTGCCAGACGCCTTACACTCAAGACGATTATGCGTAACAGATGCTGGAGAAATGCTTATGCGATCCAGTTTCTTGTGTCGAAACCATTCTTCCTATGGACGGGTTAAATACACAATATATTCCTACTCATCCTTTTTTACATGGTGCTTTCAAAAATTTATATCAAACATATGGCAAGAAAATGGGCAACAATAAAACTTTAACTGGCCGCAATACTGTTATAGCACCAAAACGATCATGTAATTATTTTAATTGCACTCATTCTATGTAAAGGAATGTATGTTTTCAAAATGAATATAATTCTGTGGTGCATATAGAAAATAAAACAGTAACACTTCAGCAGTTTTTTTTCTCCAAAAAAAAGGGGATCTTAAATAAGGCTCTTTAAAGCCAATATTAGTGTTTAAACAGTTTTCTGTTTAACTTAAAACACAAAAATTAACAACTACTGTCCTGCCAGATGTAGGATGCAAAGTTCGCTGTCGTGCAAAACTCAAAACATGACAACAAAAACATTTCTGCTGGTCTCCCTTCAGAACTCCCAAACCATTAAATCAGTAGGGCAAGGTCTCAAGAGTACGTGGGCTCAGAGTACAGGGACCTGCTCGTACACGACCGACCCCGATTCACACTTGCACTTCGCTTCACGCACGGGGCGGGAAGCGAGTCAAATCACCCCCGCCATCCTGTGAACATGTATTTGACGGCGTGTAACTGTATCAGCCCGTGCAAGAAACGAGTCCACCCTGCTCGCATCTTTCGTATTTATCATATAGAGATGATGTGAATAATCTACTGTACAGCACTTTAATTTATTAAATATTTACGTACATTTATATACATTGTATATACACTCGTGTACACGAACCCCAACTTACGCGAATTCGCACTTACGCGAGGGTACTCTGAGACCTTGGTGTATTCTATTTACACTAATGCCAGGTTAAGCGTTTTAAGCGCAAAGCAAGACGGTCCATCTATTAATATCGCTCCTTAATCGAACGATACATGCATCGAAATCTGTAAAACCCTTGCAGCCACCAGTGGCTGCTACAATCACCATAACTTAAAATAATAATCATCCCCAAAACATGACAAATTCACCGAATCAGAGAGAATCGGGAGGGAATCGTAAACATCCTGGGACCTACTCACAAAAGATAACATAGGACAAGAACATTTTCTGAGTAGGGCTGATGCAATAACCGCTGGAATTTATATTGCAGTAAGTGCTGCAGAATAAAAAAAGGCTGACTTTCAAATACTGAATCTCTGACTGGTTACAAGCGAGTCATTTCCATTTAACCCGATCACCACAATAACAATTCTAGATTTGAACTTTTCGTGACTGCAAGGAATCATACTCTTTGCTTTTTTCGGTAAAGTCACGTAGGTAAAAAAATAAATGAAACCAACTCAATTAAATCACGACGTTTCGGGCGCAACACGTTTTTGACACAACACACACACTTAAGCGGTTGTGCTTTCGCTGCGTTGCCCCTACCTGAAGACGGGTGCTTGTGTTGCGCTTGAAACGTCGTGATTTAATCTAGTTGTTTTCATTTATTCATTTTTTACCTACGTGACTTTGCCGAAAAAACCAAAGAGTACCATAATAACAGTTGAACAAGTCTACATTGCTGTCAACAAACATTAAGTGCAATTACTTTAATCGCCCATGAGACCGCACGGTGTCTCACCACAATGTTTACGGGAAGAAACAATTGCTGCAGTTAGCAGATGACATGTATGAGTATGGATTCCAAAGTGTGCGCTATGTGGAAACAACATATCACGCACTGCTGCCGGGAAAGAAGGCCACAAACTGCTGGGTGCTTTCCCCAAACACCGTCTTTACTCTTGAGCGTTAAGCCCACGCAGTCTGCGATGAACCAGTCTTCTGTTTCAACCAAAATTCGACAGATTGGCGAGTCAGATGTGGTTCAGTTATGCAATGGTTCTTCGTGTGTTTTAAAATTTCTCGGCCAAAAATCTGTTCAGCGGCATTAATACAAGATAGGATCAAAAGCATTAGGCTTGTAATCAACACCATGGTGTAATGAACATTATAATTGCATTCAGCAAAATATGGTACATTCAAGTGTACTCAATCAACAATGACCATTTTTAAGTAGCAATACCCTAAGTAAATGTTTACAAGTCTCACATTATTTTATCCAGCTTTACTTAAAAAACAAGTTGCTTTGCTTGGACGACTCTTGTAAATAAAACACTTAAGCGTGATGGATACTGCTTAGTATCAGTGTACGAGTTCTTTGGCAAACAATTTTAGTATTTTATCAGTTATGATAAACAACAGTTCATCATAACTGGGAAACATGAAGTAAAAAATCCCTGCATTATTATCCATTTTGCATGAGTTTGGTTTATATCCACTCACCTTCCACAAAGAAAACTTAATGTGGTTTACGTTGTCAAATGTCAGCTTTATTTTTATGAAATACTTTTGCTCAACGGGTGCTCAAAACAAACTCTCTTACTGAAAAGTATCATATTTGCCTGGGCTTTCATCTTTAATCATCACATCTCTCTGTCCTGAAGATAAAACATGGGTCATGTGTTTTCCAGTACAATCAGAATAAAGCCCCCTTAGCCGCAACTATCTTATTCATGTCTCCCTGCCCCCCCACATTATTTCAGATAAGACAAGTTCCTCTGTATTTACAAGAATATGCAAACTTAGATCAATCCAATTCCACAGACTCAGCTTGTGAGTGTTTGGGTCTCATCACTGATGTTTATTTTTTGCAGCACTGAAACGACAAGACTAGTTACTACATGGTGGAAACCACATCTTACTCACGTCACGACGGGCTCTTTACATGGCTGCAGGCTCAGGCAGCAGCAATCAAAGTCCTTTATGGAATCCTTGCTGAGGCGGGCCCGCTGGGTGCCATACCCGGAGACCGCTGTAAATCATCAAAAATCATCAATGAGAGAAATGTTTAGTCACATTAATGCTTTCTGGGTATAGGCAGTCCCCACTTTTACGACACAATGTGTTCCTGGAAACCCCTTCGCTGAAAATCGGATCATTGTAAACCGGACCCTATTTTTCCAGACAGTAGAAACATCACGTGTCGATGTGTTTTCCCTTTTACCAGTCATATTTAAGAGGGCTTAATAGGCAAACAATCCACAAAAGCCCCATGCAAAGTCACATCGGAAACCAAACTGACTCTGTTAAAAGGTATTTGGAGTGATGTTGGAAGATGCGTTGTAACTAAAGCTTCTGCATTGTCATAAATCCATGGTGGCATTATATAAACATTATATTGATTGTTGGAAATCAGGTGAAGTGGACCGTCATAACCCGGAAACCGCCTGTAGTGTAACTGGTGGGGTATAGCATGGGCTACCTCACCCCTGAAGAGAAGTGGGCCAGATGATTCATTTTATTTCATCTTCTGTGAAACCAGTGCAGGAGTAATCTTTACTCCAGAAATTGCACATGTACAGCCCTTTTGAAAATCCACTGCTGGATGAGGGCTTTGCCACGCGGTGTGGCTTGCGGGGATATTTGACATTTCACCACCCGGTTTGTGCGGGGTTGAAGCTGGGGAGCACGGACATGGCAGCATACAAGTATGGCACAGTGGATTGTTACACTGCCCTCTACTGCCCATCAAATAGCCAACAATTTTCTTTATGCACACAAACTGCTTAGCTTTCAAGATCTTATAAGGTTATTTTGGTAATTCGACAAATGTTAATTGCGTGAATCTTTATTTAGACCGGAGGAATCCGATGAGCTATGAAGTGCAGCTGGTATTGCCAGCCCAACTAAAGCCAGTCATACTCCTGTCGCACCTGTGTCCTTTTTCTTTTCGTAGTAGGTGTACACAGCACCGGCGGTGCAGTTTCTGCCATGTCTGGTCATGGTGCGTCACACTCCAGCCTGTGAACAATACCGTGGTTAACCACTCGGCTTAGCACATGTGCGAGTGAGACTGCATCTGGCGATCGTCCATCGTGCACTTATGGCCACATTGTCCAGAACGCAATGTGCATGCATGCGCACTGTACGATGCAGCCTCCAAACTCCAAGGCGTCAATGTAACTGCATGTCAGTAAGGGTATTACGAATAAGCCACCGCATTTCCTTGATAAATTACATTTCACTTCTCGCCCACAGTTCTACCATTATATATTGCAGTTATTACGTGTGCTTTGGTTAAAGCTGTTTTCACATAACTGTGGAAAATATTTTTACGCTAAAGCTATTGCACCGAAATATGAAGATATTAACCATTAAGACAAAACAATATTCCGTATCTTAATTAATCAACATGTGTTATTTTGCTGAATAGTAGAATGCATGCATTAAACATTTTTATACAATTTTAAGGACAGTATTTTCACGTGCTTTGATGTTTTTAGATATTATTTTATCACAACATACGTAAACATCAAATTTTAAAAATATTCTGAGAAAACACCAAAAATGTGTGTTTTTTAACAATGATTGACAGCAAAACAATACTCTAAAAACAGGTCCCTGCAGGGTGGGCTGGTAGGACAAGTCTCTGCGCTGTCTATTGCTGATTTTACACCCAACAGCACGAGATTTCACTTCGTTAAAGTATTGAAAGGGGACGGACGGACACATTAATCTATTGCAGGCTGGTACACTCAGTTTACAACTTCGTTCCTACCAGTAATAGGCCCTTTTAATACAGCCAGCTCAATATCACAACCAATTACAAATTTGCAATTGCTCTTGCTTGTGTCACCTCTGACTATAGTTATTTCAGATTTCGTTTTGCCATTATTATTATTACAGTCATTTATCACTGTCATTTTCAGAAAGAGCAAAGGCAAATATAATTAAATAAAGTTTTCACAACTAATAAGAAAAATTAGATCAACTATACTGCAGGCTAAAGGTGTACTCTTTTAACAAGTGGAAGGGTTTAGCATTTCAGTTGAAAAAAAAACTGCACGTGTTAAAATATGCAACTTTGGCCAACATGGTAGTTTCAACTTTCTGAAAGAAGAGGCAGCATTTAATCAGGGGCCACGATAATCCTCCTCCTGTCGCAATCGGAGAGGTGCGGCAACCCCTGTGATCGATGGAAACGCTGAGGTCACAGACTCCCAACTGATGCCTCCTGCTGCCCCGTTAGGAGCGGTCACAGGCGGGTAATTAATTTATCTACAGCACTTAGCGGAGACCTTTAGTTACAAGCACGGCAAGCAATCACGGGCCTGAAAATGATAGCGGGGGATTTAGACCCGACCGTGTACATGGACAGCTGCATACCGTCAAGGCAGATCGGTCAGCCGACTTGCAAGGGGAGACGTTCAAAGGGGGAACACCGCGCTGCACCGGTGGATGGGAGTTCTGTGACTTCATGACCACGCGGCCCATTAATTTTGGAGGTCCTTCATCCCGAGATGCACTACAAAGGACAAGCTGTCTGTGACCCCCCACAGCCCTGCAGGACCCAGCCCCCACGCTAATCCGCCCTCCCCTGCGGAAGATAGATGAATTGCAGCGCGCCAGTTTGATGGCTGCAGGAAAAAGTCGTATATTGCCAAATTTCGCATCAAAAGGTCCTACAAGGCTCTGACAATTAAATGCTGGGTTCTGGCTCAAAATGTCAATCCAGCAACGAGTGTAATTAAAAATGCCATGAATTGTAAGGTTGCAGCATATTGCCACGTTATTTTTGAAGTGTTAGAAAATACGTACTAAAGTCTGTTAAGTTTGAATGAAATAGTACGATTTACAGATGGTACTAAAGTTTTTTCAATAAAAAGGCTTACCTTTCATTATCAGTCCAAAATAGTCAAATCAATATGGACGAATGTAGTTTAAACACTGACAATATTTATAGAATACTGTTATTCTGAATTACAATATTTTTTCAAAGCAAGACAGTTTATTTAACTACCACTGGTAAAAAAAATAAGTACAGTTGTATTATTGTACAAAAACAGCAACAGGTTTAATATTCAGCCAAATGTAAGTGTAAAAAATGTTATCTACTGATTTAGTTTTGCATGGCAGTCTGCAGTGCATCACACTTTATTTTCATCTGTCGAACGCTGTAAATTTCTGCAAAGGCACGGTTACAGGCAGGTGCCCGGGGCACGTAGGTCTGCTAGTCTTCCTACCATCTCTCCCTTGTCTCCACTCCTCTGCCTAATATAACATACGAGTGCATTTAACACATTGGCACTGAGCAGCTATATGATGCAGTATGGCACTTGCACCTTTTCCATGCCAAATTAAATCCACAAAGTAACTCATCTCTGCAGACAGTACTATGTGCACAACACTCCCTTTCTATGCCATTAGTAGTGCAAAAAGACACAAGAACATTATCATCACTCTTAAAAGCAGCAGTGACGTTGCACAGATGCCTAATTGAATGTAGTAGCCTACACACTATCGTTATAAACATAACCAGTATTCACACAAAAAACCCACCATATCCATCACGAAAAACTCCTTTGAAAAAAAATAGGCTGATGTTTCAGACCAAGGTCCTTCATGAAGAGAAATGTCTGCCAATTTTATGTTTCTGTTATAAGGAAATGTTCGTGATGTATTTGCCAAGGTTTTTATTTGAACTTGTGCATCACTGTTAAAAAGCAGTCCCCTATATATTGTTAAACACCAACATTAATTTACTCTAAATAGTGGCAATATTTAGAATTGATGTATTTTAACTAATTATTACCTCTTACACAGGTCTTCCAAATGTTCAATTTCAACAGATGTCAGGCATTGGTAAATGATGGGACAGCGGCCAATATTGGACAATATATTTCGGTGCAAAATGTATAATTAGCATAACTACTGACCACGAAGCGCTTCGAACACTATAGTCCACACAGAATAACAATAAAATTATTTTTAATTATTGCTGTTTTGCCGCTGTCAAACAAACTACTTATTCGAATAGTTTAGAATTATCAATATTTGGTAAAAACAGAAATTGTATTCAGGTTATTTGCATACAAAGGTCCCTGATAATGTGGGGGGGGGGGGGGGCAAAATGTAATATAAATCCCGTGGCCCTCCTCAACTCTCCCTTGATCTCAGTGGTGATCCTCCCTCACACAGCCACGCGACATTGACATTTTCACACTTAACGTCACACATTAAATATGATTACGTTCACCCGCTCGACAATGTACAAAAAATGACTTCCTGCGTTTCACCGATATCGTCCTTTCTTTAAGAATATAAAATGTCAAAAAAATTATTTAACAGTGCAAAGCAATGAATGCTATAAAGTTAAATGACCGAATGATAAAATAATAGTGTGCAGCATTTATGGCAGTGATCAAGGTCTAGGATTTTGCAGGAATCCCCTGGACTAACATTCCATAGCCAAAGATTTTCAGCAGCATAGTGCCCAGTGACTCCCTGTGATGTGTATTCAACTAAGGGCATGCACTTGTTCTTTATGCTAACATTGACCATGGACCATCCACCGGTCACTAGAACCACCAACATGTGGAAATTCAGACACTGCATTCATTATAATGCAAAACTAACGCTTTCAAATTGTTTCGTCCCTATTGATGGAGTAAAAATTTTCACTAAGAATTAAAGTAAATTTTTGATGAAAACGAACACACACATATCATAACTTACTAATCCATTTAAAAGTATTAAACAAAAATAACTATTCGTTTATCACTCATTCCTGAGTGGTCTTCCAAAACCATTACCATCTTTGTATACAACGTGCCTACATTGCAACATTCCATCAAACTCCTGTGCATGAACTGATATCTCGCTTCATCTTTGCAGTGGTCATCCTCAGGTGTATTCTTTTTGGTGCGATTGTCACTAGCCTTGTCCATCGGCAATTATGCTTTCTATTGAAGTATCCTTTGCAAGCTCACGTAACTTACAATTGGCCCCCGGTTCACCGACCTGTTCGTAATTTAATGCATGAATCTCGCCATTTTTTACACACTATTTTGTAAAATAATATTTGTGCCCATGGTTATGAAGAACCGATAGTCTTATTTTCTAAAGTCAGTACGTAATTTCCTGCTGAAATTAGCAGAGGCGCTCATCTCGCTCATGGTCCAGAGGCGGAAGTGAAAATTTTACTATTTTTACTTTACCATGTCAGGCCCACTGAGCTATATATATACACTGTAGTAATTTTTCAGAAGCCACCAGGCCACAAATGATACCTCAAAGTGGCTTATAACGTGGAAATGTACTGCAGCAAAATACTCTCAACGCATATTTCTAAATGTGGAAGGAAAAACAGGAGGCTCCGGATAAAATTCCACGCGACCACGGGGAGAGAGAAATGGAAACTCCAAACGTACAAGCGTCTGGGTCGGGATTGAACCCACAGCCACCTGTATGCCGGGCGAGGTAGTTAACATCTCACCACCGCGGTCCTGAATTCCACATTCATATGACGGCGTGTCTATTCATAGGTTAATCCGTTTAACTGCTGACTTCCTCACAAATTGGCAATTTTATCGACCACGGAGATGATGAGCTAAGTCGACTCCCATCTGGGATTTGAACTCACAACCTTGTGAGACGCTCGCTCAGTCGCTGAGCCACCTGGGCAGAATTATTAACTTATTTTCTGTAAACATATGTTTACAATATACATTGCTTCCTACAAAATGGCTTTATTTTTACAGACCCTGGAGAAAGTGGTTATAATTACGATATTAAGGGGTCCGGGGGCTCCTCCGCCGCTTCCTTTACCAAGACGCACTGAGCAGCGTGGTGAAGTATGGTCAAACATTCCCACACGATTCACACGCCGTGGGGGGCGCCTTCACCTGGCAATACGTTGCCAAGATCTACGTAATTATGATGACTACAGCTAGACTACCCTACAATGTGTGGATGTTGTGCGGTTACAAAGATCCCCCACTCCCCCGTGTAGCCTTAACAGAATGTTGGGGGCGAGTGCTGTTCGTGAGCGCCTGTGAATGCCGGCACGGCACACGAGGGGGATGGGAGGCCAGTAACCACGCCCGACCGCCTTTGTCTCCCCCAGTGGCGATTTTTTTTTTTAACACCACACCAGGTACTCATTTGAGGCCGAGTCGCCCTCGGGGAGGTCCAGCACCGGTTCAGACACTCGTCAGCAGCTTTTGTGGCCGTGTGAGGGCAAATCGAACTCGGGTCGCCGGGTTCGTAGCGCGGCGCGCGAACTGCTACGACCGCCCCCCAACGCCCCCACTGTGTCGTTAGACACAGCACACACGGACAGACACAGCACACACGGACAGACACAGCACACACGGACAGACACAGCACACACGGACATACACAGCACACACGGAGAGACACAGCACACACGGACAGACACAGCACACACGGACAGACACAGCACACACAGCACACACAGACACAGCACACAGACACAGCACACAGACACAGCACACGACGCACAGTCGTCGCGTTGGTGGCAAAAACAAATCAGGAACCCGCGCGCGCGACCCAGCCCGTAAACGCGACGGCGTCACCGCCCGGGCCTTGTAACAACAACAAACAACAACAAGCCGGCCGCCTCGAGTGGTGTCGCGATCGCGCTGGGGCGGGCAGGGGCGGTGGCGCGCCTGGGTACAAGCGAGCCGCCTTACGCCGCGGGAAGTAAACGCCGCGACAGCGAGGCAACCGACGAGACGGCGGCGGCCGCCGGGAAACTCACTGCGCGCTCAGCCGCAGGTGAAGGCCTCAAACCTCCCCCCTCAAAATACCACGGGGGTGGGGGGGGGGACTTTACATTACCTACAGCGTACGCGCGCGATTCCCAAAGGCGATTGGACGGAAGCGATCACGCGGCTGGAATCAATCCGGGCTCGCCCCCCCCCCTCACACACCCCCACCCCCCTCAAGATGACGTCACTGCGTATCCGTTGTGTGAAATACAAACGGGGTTTAGGGGATTTTTTTTTTCAAAGCTACGGATCGTCCGTAGGGGTTTTGGGGCGGGGGGGGGCGGAGTTTCGCGATTTCGTAATAATAAAAGTTATAATATTTGGTTCTTTCGGTAAAATCACGTAGGTATAAAATAAAATACAGGTTATATTTGTTGTTGGGTTCGATCACGTAAATATTGTAAGTGTTGTTTTAAATTGAAAAAAAAGCTTGAATTTACAACCAGCAAAGTATTATTTTATGATTAAGTCGAGGGGTGGATGTGGTGACATCACTTGTGAGCAACTTCTTCCTCCAAGTGGGGAGGCCGATTGATGAATGCATTAAAATCACTATGGATATCCATTTGCGGTTGGGTAATTTGTATGGTAATTAACGTACATTATGAATGCGCATAATGCGAGCCCATTGTTCTAGTAATCTAGTACCTCCTGTTGATTGCGTGCACTAAATAACCGTACCTATTGTTTTGATTTAAAGCTTTCGTAACTGCAGGGATTCATATTCTTGGTTCTTTCGGTAAAGTCACGTAGAAGAGAAACAATAAAATAATAAAAATATATAAAACAATACAATTATCACGACGTTTCGACTGCAACGCAAGCAATCATCATCAGGGGTGAAAACCACAGCAAGAATTTTTTTAAAAAGTGGCGGTTTTTTAACGAGCTGAGATTAGGAGCACACTCTTAAAGGGAGTGCTCCTAATCTCAGCTTGTTACCTGTGTAAAAGACACCTGTCCACAGAAGCAATCAATCAATCAGATTCCAAACTCTCCACCATGGCCAAGACCAGAGAGCTCTCCAAGGATGTCAGGGACAAGTTTGTAGACCTACACAAGGCTGGAATGGGCTACAAGACAATTGCCAAGCAGCTTGGTGAGAAGGTGACAACAGTTGGTGCGATTATTCGCAAATGGAAGAAACACAAAAGAACTGTCAATCTCCCTCGGCCTGGGGCTCCATGCAAGATCTCACCTCGTGGAGTTGCAATGATCATGAGAACGGTGAGGAATCAGCCCAGAACTACACGGGAGGATCTTGTCAATGATCTCAAGGCAGCTGGGACCATAGTCACCAAGAAAACAATTGGTAACACACTACGCCGTGAAGGACTGAAATCCTGCAGCGCCCACGAGGTCCCCCTGCTCAAGAAAGCACATATACATGCCCGTCTGAAGTTTACCAATGAACATCTAAATGATTCAGAGGACAACTGGGTGAAAGTGTTGTGGCCAGATGAGACAAAAATGGAGCTCTTTGGCATCAACTCAACTCGCCGTGTTTGGAGGAGGAGGAATGCTGCCTATGACCCCAAGAACACCATCCCCACCGTCAAACATGGAGGTGGAAACATTATGCTTTGGGGTGTTTTTCTGCTAAGGGGACAGGACAACTTCACCGCAACAAAAGGATGATGGACGGGGCCATGTACCGTCAAATCTTGGGTGAGAACCTCCTTCTCTCAGCCAGGGCATTGAAAATGGGTCGTGGGTGGGTATTCCAGCATGACAATGACCCAAAACACACGGCCAAGGCAACAAAGGAGTCGCTCAAGAAGAAGCACATTAAGGTCCTGGAGTGGCCTATCCAGTCTCCAGACCTTAATCCCATAGACAATCTGTGGAGGGAGCTGAAGGTTCGAGTTGCCAAACGTCAGCCTCGAAACCTTAATGACATGGAGAAGATGTGCAAAGAGGAGTGGGACAAAATCCCTCCTGAGATGTGTGCAAACCTGGTGGCCAACTACAAGAAACGTCTGACCTCTGTGATTGTCAACAAGGGTTTTGCCACCAAGTACTAAGTCATGTTTTGCAGAGGGGTCAAATACTTATTTCCCTCATTAAAATGCAAATCAATTTATAACATTTTTGACATGCGTTTTTCTGGATTTTGTTGTTGTTATTCTGTCTCTCACTGTTCAAATAAACCTACCATTAAAATTATAGACTGATCATTTCTTTGTCAGTGGGTGAACGTACAAAATCAGCAGGGGATCAAATATTTTTTTCCCTCACTGTATGTAGTTGTGATGTTGCACTACATCACTGTACACGTGGTTATCGGACTTTGTGCCAATTGGTGCTTTAGTGTTGATGAGAATTACCTGCCAGTGTTACTTGAATGGTGCATTACCTGAATGTCTTTGCGACTCAGTGGCTGAAGTGTTATAATTATGCCTTTAACTTGCTTTTTATTCATTAAGATCCTTCATGGGTCATTCCTTTAAAACAGTTTGAGGCTCAATGTTTCTTTACCACGTTAACAAATACAATCAACCAAATGGTACATATACCGTATGCATCGTTGAATTAGTTTCAATGTGCCAGACTTACCCCGTAACTGGAAAAAGACTTCCCTTAATTAGTCCTGCCGCAAGAGGTTTTGCTGTATTGTAAATTATTTTGACAATGTCAAAAAGTACATTAATCAACAACCTCATCTTAAAATGCTCTACAATTGAGAGGGCAGTACATTATATGCATATGGAGAGAATTATAATATCCATTTTTACTGTGGTCGAAATGCATTCATTTTCACATGTAATATAAGGATTTGTTTTGCAAGAATAAATGTGTTTTCCAGACCTTTTTTTAAGCTTTACAACCAAAGTTGAAAGTATGGTTGCTAGAGCCCTCAGTTTATCTGTCCATCCGCAATGGGACGGGACATGGTAACTCTCGTAGAGATGATTCAAAATTAACAAAAGTATAAAGTTGTGTTGCTAATGAAGAGCTGCCCTAAAGAAAACCTAACCAACTGTGCTCGAAACAGTTTGTGGGAGTTGTATTTCGCAAACTCTTGCACCACCGCTACCACCCTCAAAGGTTATTAGCTGAGCAATTTATCCAAGTAATGATTTTAAGCCTGCAATAGTTTTATTACAAAATAATATAGAATGATATTTTTGTCAACGGCTGTTCTTTGGCGGATTTTCCATTTCAAAGTTTCGCTATTATGAGATCCTGGTTGGTAATTAGAGGCACGAATGGGCATTGTGGCATGACTTTCAGTGGTTTCCAGTGTCCGTGTCCACAGCTGGGAACTCCGTGATGGTGAAGAGACGCAGAATTATCACTCAGCTGCAGAAAACAGCATAACCTATCTCCCTCAGCTCTTCCGATGAAACTCTGTTTCTGCAGCTTATCCCCAATACGTGCATTTTTTTATTTCTTACAAAACAGCTTATAAGAGCTGTGCGTGTTTAAAAAAAAAATTGTACAATGTGTTGTTCATCTTATGGGAGGCATGGACAGACATAAGAAAAAAGAAAAAGGTGCAATAGAAATATTTTTTTTTATTCCCAAGTGATGTTTTTAAACTTGTTCTAGTTACCGTTCTGTGCTTTTTGTTTTAACGTATTCCTGCAGTCTTGAATTCCCTCTGGCCAACCTCACTGTTAAAATCGCAGACTCTTTAGGTGCTTGTTTTTCCCTGTCTGTATCGTGTATTGAAGTGCAATCACATTTTTACGGTTTAAATATGCAAATGTAATTGCATTGTAAGTTGAAATAATTGATTTCGTGACGAGAATTTAGACTTTTGTTTAATATAAATACTCATTGGGGGTGTGGTGATGCAGTGATTACGCTACAAAATCCCAGTGGCCTGAATTGAGTTCCTGGCTACGGCTAACATCAATAGTGTGTGATGTTTGAGCCAATTCTGATCAGCTCCTTCACCAAGCTGCAATGACCAGCGTGGCGAAGTATGGTAAAAAAAAAATACCATGATAACATGGCATACGGAGGCCTTCATTTAGCTGTGGATTGAAACAAAAATCTCTTTATAATTGTAGTAACTTAATTTATAAATACAGTACTTACGAAGACTATCCAATAGAGCTGAATGGCTTCAAGTTAAGATTTGACAGTCTTGACCAGACAGTTGCTTTAATTAAACCAGTTGTCAACTAAAAGGCAGACATCTGAATGGATACTCAATTACATCCCATTAATAATATCATTGGGATAAATTGTGGAAAAAAGACAATGTGTTTGACTGTATTGTTAGACAAACAGATTTTTGTTTAAATTTCTCATTCAGAACATAACACTAATGTCCATTTATTGTAATGCATGAAAGAGACCCTTTCACTTTTAGAGCAGCTAATAAGATTGGAACATTTACAAAATACATCGCAAAAAAGCCCATGGATACGCAGCTCCACAGCGTCGATGTTTAATATGTTAAAATTGGCTGTGATGAAGATCTTGTTGTCTTGCAAATTCACCTCCCCAACATAAAGTGATACATGGTAACACATTTTTGCAGGATGTATTATTCCTTTTCGGAGAATAAGACTTATTTTTTCCACCACTTAAGTTGTTAGTGCTTCCTCGTAATTTATTGCTGTTTTTCAGGCAGTTTTTTTTGTGTGGCTGTAAGTCTTGTCTACAGCGCAGCTGCACCGTGCTCTTGAATTGGGGCAGAGAAAAACACCCGCTGGTTTTCCCGTTCATCGCGGATATTCTGATGACTCCTCATTTTGTCACATTTTATCGGTTCACGCTGATCATCTTCAGCTGTGCTCTACAACTTTTGACTTTAATCCAAGTTCTAGGAGTGTGTTTAATTGGGAGCAGGTTGTGGGGTCGTAAACAGCAGGTTTTTAATCTGTGGAGGACACGTTAACCAAGGCTGTCACTTTTATTTAAACCGTTTACTCATTTTAATTCTAATTATCACTGAACCCAAAGCAAATGTTTGTGATAATATACTGTATATAAAGGTCATAAGTGAATAAAAAGAACCCATGAGTTTAATAAACTGATAATCTAGTCCAGACTTGTACACGTTGGGCTGTATCACTTTCATGCAATAAAACATGTCTGATTAAAATAAATACAGAGATCCTAAATGCGAATGTCGTTATCGGCGCCAGTAAGGGCCCTTTC